TTGATTTTTTTTTAATTTCTTAGCATTAACTGATGACATTTTAAATGTTCTGCAGAATCCCCGGTTTATGCAAAGATCTTGTTATATTTATGAAATCAGTGAACCCTTCTTTATTCCAAATGCCATGTTTATTAGAAAATAGTAAACACGACCAACAAAATAATTTTTGTAAAACAATATGCTACTACATAGCCAATTAAAATCAGAAAACCAGGAACACTTAAATTTAATATTATAAGATTTACCTACCACTTTTTCTTATTTCTTTTTTGCAATATATGGTTAAAGTTTCAGTTGCTCGCCCTTGAGATAAAACATATCATCATCTGTCCACCGCCTGAAGGCAGTTTCCAATAAATTGCACACCAAGTCATTAATTGGGTTCATTTTTTAACACACACACACAAAACAAACAGCAAAAATTAACAAGTTAAATAAACAAAAACCATTAACAAACAACAACTTTACAGTCTTTACACGGTTAATTACTCGCCGAAGTAGCCGAATATTAGCATAAAGTTTTTTCTTTAATTTGAGTATTTTTTTCCGTGAAGTGCCCCTTCACCTACTGTACCTGACGAGCCGCCACTGCTTGGAGGAAAATTATAATAAATCGAAAAAATTGATGTTTGACGTCAAATTGCTGCGAAACAAACCAGAATCGGACGTATGTTAGTATAAAAATAGATCTTATTTTTACGTGAGGAATCTCCCCACGAGAGATAGCACATGCTTTTTGAAACACCCTGTAGAAAGTTCTATTAGAACTGAACCTAAATGTGCAGTTGATGCAAACGAAATTCTATGCTCGTATTAGAGATTTCTTCTCGTTAAAAATTATAAAACCTTCCGTCTAATCGTTTCCTATTAGAAGCAATTTTCTCGATAAAAATATCCAGCCAAGCGCGATATTATTATTCCCCATGCTAACAAAATTGTTAATTTCTATTAACCCAGTAATTACTACACGACCTTGGATTAACTAAACGGACCTCATTTAGATATTACATAAAGCTTCGCAAAGCTCCTCATTAAAATGTTGTATTAATTTATTATCTGAACAGGCTATAGCAAAGAGTATGTTAAAATACTCCTAAAACTGATTGAGTTTAGTTCAACCACAGCCTTATACAGTACCAGTTGTTCATCTTCGCTTGTTTTTGTGTATCTCTGTGTTTTTTTTGTAAATGTTGCACTTTATTTTTTATGAATATTCTAAAAGGATACATCAAGTTACATAAACGTGCTTACTGTAGTGTCAATAGATACAGATTTTTTTTTAAACATGTTAATTCTCAATTTAAAATAAATAACAGTTCGCAACAGATGTTATTTCCAATAACTAACATATATAAAATAACAGTGCTCTGATATTTCGTAATGTGAAGACGGAATCGTCGCGCCTCGTAATTCTATCAAGTTCGCCAACAGCTTTTCTAAAAAATAACAGTTTAAATTATAAAATAACAGTTCACCAACAGCCTTGTTTACAAGGCCAACAGCTAACGCTCTCAATGTGATGCCTTCCAAAAAATAACAAGTATAAAAATAACAGTGCTTTAATATTTCGTAATGTGAACAGTTTTTCTAAAAAATAACAGTTTAAATTATAAAATAACAGTTCCCCAACAGCTAACGCTCTCAATGTGATACCTTCAAAAAGATAACAAGTATAAAAATAACAGTGCTCTGATATTTTGTGATATGAAGACCGAATTACCGCGACTCGTAATTCTACCAAGCTCGCCAACAGTTTTTCTAAAAAATAACAGTTTAAATTATTATAAAATAACAGTTTCCCAACAGGTAACGCCCGCAATGTGATGAGCAAAAAAATCTCACCAAATTTAACCTTTCACAAAAAGCTACAAATATTTTGAAAAAAGTTATTAATTAATAAAACGTTATTAAAGTTAGTTAGTAATAAAAGTTAATTAAATACAGTCGGCTGTTTTTGTTCTAGAGTTGTGCCAAATATTGTTATTGTTAGAGGATAGTAGGTAGTAGCCTCAGTAGATAGAGATTATAGTTCAAGAAAATAGGCCTTTAAATAACGAAGTTTTAGTAAAAACTTGAATTTTTGATATAAGTTACTTTGGAAGATCTCAAAACGAGTTGTGAAAGATTTTTTAAATTCACCCCCGAGAAGGGATAAAATAAATAAATAAATTTATTTTTTCGAAATTTCGGAGAAACGGTAAGAACTAGAAAAAAAAGTTCAAATAAAAGTTGTGGAGCATCAAATTTTACATAGAAATTATTTTTATACTTTTTTTGCTCAGATCAAAATTAATTAAGACAGGGTGGCTAGAAGCTAGGGGATGATAGTAAAGATAAAAAAATATAAGTTGCTGAAAATTCATATATTTAACATTTATATTCAATTTGTTTGGGAAATTATAAATTACCATAAGATTTTTTTTAAATTCACCCCGAGAATAGGTAAAAAATACAAATAAAGTGATTTTTTCTAAATTTCAGAGAAACAGAGCTCTCAGCAAAAAAAGTATACAGACCATTTTTAAGTAAAATTCGACGCATACAACTTTTATTTGAACATTTTTTTCTAGTCCTTACTGTTTCTCCGAAATTTCGAAAAAATAATTTTATTTATTTATTTCACCCCTTCTCGGGGGTGAATTTAAAAAATCTTTCGCAATTCGTTTTTAGATCTTTCAAAGTAGGTAATTTACATAAAAAATTCAAGTTTTTACTAAAACTTCGTATTTGAAGGTTTTCTATTTTCTTGTACTATTAGGTCAATATATTCATACATGATTCATGACACCTTAATATTTCATAAATGAATTGAAATTTACAGATAGTGAGAGTTTCTGAACGGTTCTTTAAATTATACTCGTTTATTTTTAATATGGAAGCTGTTAATTGTAAAAAAAACGTAACAGTTCCAACTTTTATTTGTAAATAACAGAGTTCAGCCTACTTCAACAAGAGCTTCAAATAACTTACAATCTTTCGCCATTGTCACCGTCACCTCAGCGCGTTAGGCTCCCCACCCCACACAAAACATCCCCCTTAGAACTTCGTCTGTCATGTTAAGAAATGAAAGTAAATTATAAAGCGCCTCTCGTGTTTGTTCGCACTCAAAAAATTTCATTTAATCCCTGTATATATTTTTAATATATTTTTTAAATTTACATTTTTTTAATTGTAAAGTAATATATTACATTTAAATGGAATATATTACATAACAATTATGTCAATTACAGGATTACAAGCTTGTTTTCTAATATTTTTTAAATAAAACGAATTATACAATTTCAATATATATGTATATTTGTCGTAGGTATGAAAAAAAGTAAAATATAAAATGGACAAACGCTTACTTACATTGCAATAAAACTTCCACTTTTAGTTTTGCAATCCAAACGCAATATTTCTATTTCACAAATAAACATATCCGACAACACTAAAATCACTGAAACTTCCGCGGCTGACAACGAAAACTGAAAAATATAACGGCACTTTTTGTCTTGGACCTGCATATCAACATTACGCTGTACTATTATGTGTTTGTTGTTGCAATAATATAAAATATCTAATTATAACTTGTAAATTTTAATATTTAACATGATTTTAACTACTTTTGACAATAACTAACTTTTTGTTATCAAGATGACATTTTAGACGGCAACTGACATATATGTCATAATATTTGAATCTTAAATAGGTATGTAATATAATTTGAATTACTATAATCTTTTTGAAAACAATGAATATTGAATTAAAATTGAAAAAGTTAAAAGCGACCCCTTGTGTCAAAATTAGATGATTAAATTTTCGCAATTTTTACACCATTTGATGACCGGTGGCGCCTCTAGTGTTTGTTCGGGCGGTTGGGCTTTTACTCCCGCTTATGGCCATTAAAGAAAAAGTTCTAAAGGGCCCCCAACAAAAAAACTCAAATTGAAATCTTATTACCAAAGCTTATTACTATGCCTAAAGCATCATTCAGAACTTCGCAATTTTTTTCGCGGTTTCAATTAGCGTAGAAGTTTGTTCCCTTAATTTCAATGTAAGTATTCAGAACGTCTAAATTAGTGGTAGTCATTTTCAATTAGTAGAAAAAGTTGACAACAAACTTTTGACTTTTCCACTAATTATACTTCAAAATTTGAAGGGAATGTCATTTTGACCTTTGATTATCATCCGTCAAGAGAAATTGAGATAAGAAAACAAAAGTTTATTGTTTTAAAAGCTAAATATTTGGCTTTCTCTATGGATACAACTGTGTACCGCAAGCTGTTGCTAGGATATTCCTGAAATAGACGTAGAAGAAATAAGGAAAGCCCTGTCCCAAATGAAAAATAACAGAACACCGGGAGAAGACAGAGTAACAACCGAAATGTTCAGATCTGGTGGACAACTTCTACTGCAGAAGATGACGGAAATTTTTAATAGATGCATTATGGAACAAAGAATACCAGAGCTATGGCAAAAACGCAACAATCACTCTTATTCACAAAAAGAGTGATAACACCAGACTCGACAATTATCGTCCCATCAGCCTGCTCTCGCACTTCTACAAAATATTCACAAAGGTGCTGACAAATCGCCTGTCAAACAAATTCGACTTCTATCAACCACCGGAACAGGCAGGGTTTAGAAGTGGATATAGTACTGTGGATCACCTTCAGGCAGTCCGCACTCTCATAGAGAAAAGCACTGATTACAACTTCCCTATATATGTCGCCTTTGTGGATTATGAGAAGGTTTTCGACTCTATAGAGCTACACGCCATCCTCGATGCCCTGCAAAATGCCAGAATAGACTACATATACTCGGGCATAATATCATCTATTTACAAATCAGCTACAATGACTATCAAACTGGATGACATAAATATCACAAATAAAATTAAAATGGAAAGAGGAGTCCGATAGGGAGATACTATTTCCCCCAAACTTTTTACACTGGCCCTGGAGGACGCATTTAAGAAGCTGAACTGGGACAAGAAGGGTATTAAGGTAGATAGTGGGATGCTTAATCACTTGCGCTTCGCTGATGATGTCGTTGTCCTGGCCTCATCGTTGGAAGAACTTCAAACAATGCTCGAACAACTTCACCACACATCTGCGCAAGTAGGTTTAAAAATGAATTTGTCTAAAACTAAAATCCTAAATGAAAATGAAGAGCAAGTTAATGTTAATGGACAAAGGATTGAGAACGTTACAGAGTATATATATATATCTATATATATATATATATATATATATATATATATATAACATATATATATATATATATATATATATATATATATATATATATATATATATATATATATATATATATATATATATATATATATATATATATATATATATATATATATATATATATATATAGATCTAGATCATGCCATAAAACTCGGCAAGGAAAATCAAACAACCGAAATTTCTAGAAGGATCAAACTCGGATGGGAGCTTTTGGTAATCTTAACTTTATATTAAAAAGCAAAATCCCAAATAGCCTAAAAAGAGACGTTTACAACAAATGCGTCTTGCCTGTCATGACCTATGGTTTGGAGACTATGATGATGACGGCACGAAGTGTGAACAGGTTGCGAGTGAGCCAAAGAGCTATGGAAAGAGCCATGATGGGTATCAGTCTTCGCGGCCACATTAGAAATGAAGACATTCGTCGACAGACGAGGATAACGGACATCGTAGAGAGGATAGCTAACTCTAATGGTTTTGGGCAGGACACTTGGCCAGACAATACGAGGAAAGATGGGCAAAAAGACTTCTTTGCTGGAGGCCACGCCTAGCAAAACGCCCAGTCGGCCGACCTCCTAAAAGATGGACTGATGATAGTAACCGTAGCCGGTAAAAACTGGACGAGGAAAGCACAGAATCGAAACGAGTGGAAGAAACTGAGAGAGGCCTACATTCTGCAGTGGATGAGTAATGGCTGAGAAGAGAGAAGAGAGAGTGGAATAAATTAGTGGTTTCAATTACACTTTATACTTTTTAGTTTACGATCATTCACAATGTCTAAAAACCACAATTAAAATTAATAAAATATCCTAGCAACAGCTTGCGGTAGTCTGTTGTATCCATAGAGAAACCATAATATTTAGCTTATAAAACAATAAACTTTTGATTTCTAACCAAAATTTTCTTCTTTTTTTGACGGGTGATAATCAAAGGCCAAAATGACATTCCTCGCAAATTTCGAAGTATAATCAGTGGAAAGTCAAAAGTTTGTTAACTTTTTCCAATAAGTGAAAATTACTACCACTAATTATGATGTTCTGAATGCTTACATTAAAATTAGGCGAACAAACTTCTACGGCTAATTGAAACTACTAATTTATTCCACAGATTTCGAGGTTCTGAATGAAGTGTTGAAGTAGTAGATAAAGAAATAGTAGATAAAGAAAAAGTTTAACATTTAGTTGGACAATCCATCTTTGCCAAGTGTGCCTAATCGTGTGTAGGGATCTTAAAACCACACACGTGCCCATACATGAATGACGCTTAAGTATTCAGAACGTCTAAATTAGTGGTAGTCATTTTCAATTAGTAGAAAAAGTTAACAACAAACTTTTGACTTTTCCACTAATTATCAAAAGTTTATTGTTTTAAAAGCTAAATATTTGGCTTTCTCTATGGATACAACTGACTGCCGCAAGCCGTTGCTAGGATATCCTATTCTAATTTTAATTGTGTTTTTTTAGACATTGTGAATGAGTCTTAAAAGTAATATAGTGTAATTGAAACCACTAATTTATTTCACTAATTGCGAGCTTCTGAATGAAGCTTAATGCAACACCGATTTTATTCGAACACACGATATATTAAAAAGCAGGTACAAAAAATGACAGAGGGCCAGGAAATATTACCTAATCTAAGGGGATAAAAAAAGCTATTTTTTAAAGAGCAATATTTTCCCCTCCTGTCAATAATTCGGCAATTGGGCGGATCAGCTATACCGGTTCCCCTTCCTCGGGCACATCCCTTGCCTTGGGGTCGTTCGACAAAAGGTGTCCACGATTTATAGGGGCGCTCCTCGATATAAGAAGGAATTAATCCAATAACCTCGGCCATTTTTCAATCAGTGCCCCTTTTGTATATAGGTACACCATATGACGGAGTTTAATCGATTGTAATGTTTTTATTTTTAAAAGTTTTGTCGGTAAAATATTTCTTCGTATTTTGGTATTAAATTTTTGGGAAGGGATCTTTTTTAAACTCCTTTTGATTCGAATTTAAGTATGATGAATTTTTATATGTTGATACATAGACTTACATACAGGGTGTCCCAATTTTCCGTGGTCATAGAACTACTACGTATTTTTGGAATCAAAATAAGTGCATTGGACGCAATTTATCTCTATACAAAAGTGCTTTATTTGTCCGTTAGAGGGCATCAAACTTTAAATATATACAGGGTGGTTCGAACTGTTTTCCGGAAATTTCGGCAGAATGTTCTGCTGATAAAAATCAGCTAAAAAGTTCGTATAAATGTATGTCCTAAAATGCTTGGTTTCGGAAATACAGGGTGTAGAAGTTTCATTTTTATTTCGATTTTTTTCAAATAATTTCTGAAGTAACGTCAATATTTGGATGAAAATTGGTGTCTGGAAATTTTTTAACATGAGAAATTTGATTTTGATGTCAATATGACTTCTATTTGTAGGGGGCGCCACCTACATGTGTTTTAACATTTGTTTTAACTAGTTTGAAGAGAAATAACTTTTCGTCCGTATTGGTATAAAACTACTGAGTAAAAAAATATACATTTACGACGTTTTTTACGTAAAAAATGTCTCTCAGTAAAAATTGCTATGTGTAATGGTTCCCGAGATATTTTGAATCGAAATTATCAATACCTGTCATCATTGACATAAATTAAACATATATTGACTAAATAGTTATTAGACTGAAATCATAAATTTGAAATGATTTTGTGTGAAAAGTTCAACAGAAAGTATTTTATCATCATTTTTTCGAAGAAAAATTTATGATTAATTTGATTAATTGATTAATGATTAATTTGATGATAACAATCTACTCAACATATTTATTTTTTGTTAATAATGACATGTAATGACTACTTCCATTCCAAATATCTTGAGAACACTTACTCCTAGCGATTTTTATAAGAGACATTTTTTACGTAAAAAAATCACGGAAATGTGTATTTTTTCAGTCGGTAGTTTTATACAGGTACCAGGTACGGACGAAAAGTTATAACTCCTCAAAACAGTTAAAACACATGTAAGTGGCGCCCCTACAAATAGGAGTCATTTTGACATCAAAATCAAATTTATCATGTCAAAAAACTTCCAGATACCAATATTCATCCAAATATTGACGTTACTTCAGAAATTATTTGGAAAAAATTGAAATAAAAATGAAACATGGACATACATTTATACGAACTTTTTTACTTATTTTTATCTGCAGAATATGCTGCCGAAGTTTCTGGAATACAGTTCGGACCACCCTGTATAGTCTCATATAGAGAGTGTCCTAACCTAAGCAATATTCCAACATAGAACTACTACGTACTTTTGCAATCAAAATAAGTACATTGGCTATTGGATATAATTTACCTCTATACAAAATTGCTTCGTTTGTCTGTTAGAGGGCATCAAACCTTAAAAAAATAAACATATTTTATAAATATTTTCCAACTCAACCGACGCACAGTGGAGTATTAGAATAAAAAAGGTGATCGAAATTCGAAAAAGCAAATGTGTTTAAAATTTGCCCCAAAAAAAGATAAATGATAAGTTAAATCATGTCTGCTTGAATGGCGTAGCTATGGCTGTGTTTAGTTGCATTCATTTGTTTCAACGAAACGTCAAAGTTGTTACTTTTCACAGATAGGAGGTAAATGAATAAATTTTATGTTTAAAATTATAAATTGTTGTTGTTCATGTGCTCCTTTTACGTTTATATTATTGTTTTGACTGAAAATGGCTCAGCAAGCTGCAGGTATGTATTCTACAAAAACATATTATTTATTTTGATATTCTCTATACTAACGATTTTTTTGCAACTAAAAGTTAGGCGTTCAGAAAATTTGATTACATTTGTGACATTTTTATTATACTTAGAGATTTAGTTGCGCATTTCGAAGAATTCAGCATATTGTCTATATACGTTTTACTTAGTAAACATTGGGCTTTCATATAGTAAAATAAAATACTGCGACTTTTTGCGACTTTGCTGATAAAATGAGAAAAACATTCTTGGTTTCCTCTAATTTACAAATCTATACTAATAGAAAATACTAATGCGAGGTGTAAACCGCGATGGCATTGTTGTGTACAAAGCAATCGCATTAGTACCATTAGCAGTATAGCACAATTTGGCATTAGTAGCGGCTTTAGTGGTATGGGCATTGGTCGCGGATCAGTCGTAGCATTAGTAGTATTAGTTGCGATATTACTACTGGATTAGAGGCATTGACCGTGGAAACACTGGAACAGTGATTTTTCTTTCTTTTTTATAGAATCGACGAATTATCCTTTATTTTGTTCATATTATTTCCTCTTTAATTGAAAATAGCAAAAATTTATATAAGGTCTACATAAAAAAAATTTCGATCAACTATCGGTGTCAAATACCCTACTGTGCGACGACTGATATTTTTTCGTAAAAAAACGCCACCGCGCATTCTTTTTGAGGAAACATTTTTTTTTCAGAAGCTGATTTCCAAAAAATGTTTTTTGTCACCTTAAGCTATGGAGGCGCATAAAATCTATTATCCTCTAAAAATCTACTTGGCGAAAATATGGAATTTTATGTTAGTGTCACTAATTATATTTGACAATAATAAGCTTTATAAAAAGCTTAAAAAAAATAATAAATTTTAAATTAATTATCGGTCTGGTTTATTTTTGATTGGTGCCCTCTAAGGGACAAACGAAGAACTTTTGAATAAAGATAAATTATGTGCAATTAATTTATGTTGATTCAAAAAATTGTTCTATGTCCACGAAATATTGGAACTCCCTTTTTATTTTGTAGGTCTGCATTAGAAAAATAAATTCTCCAAAAAATGTTTTCCCAAAAACTATGCAATATGGTGTTTTATACAATAGACAAAAAATGTAGTAAATACTAGAGGGACCATTTTACGATTTACAACGATTTAAGAAAATCTGTCGTCAGTGGAGTTGGAAAATATTTATACTAAAATTTATGTAGGGGTGGGAAATTTTTACCATTCCCGTACTTTTTCTTGATTTTTGTGAAAATTAAATGTTAAAGCACTTAGCAAAACACAGACGCCCAAAATCTCTATCAAATCGGAATAACGGTTCTTAATATATTTGAAAAAATGTGTTTATTTCTTTAAAGTTTGATGCCCTCTAACTGACAAACGAAGCACTTTTTATAGTGGTAAATTGTGTCCAATGAATTTATTTTGGTTTGGTTTGTATACGTAGTAGTTCTATGTCTAAGGAATATTGGGACACCCTGTATACCGTGTGTTGACTTATCGAACCGAACATAAGAAAATCAGAAAACGCATGCAAATTTAATAAAAAATGGTGTGTTTTTTTTCAAGAATTTCAGCGTTAGATACAGTAGAACTCAAATTAAAATCTTATTATTGCAACACCAAAAATAGTTTGCGTCATAAAAAAATGGTTGTAGAATGTAGAATGTTTAGGAGGAGAGTTAGTCACCGCGACCTTACTATTATGTGTGCCCCTTTCTTGAGTTATAACGAGTTATAACTCATCATACAGTCTCAAGGCTTTAACAAAAGCCAGTATCTGAGACGGCTCCACAGAGGCCAACTCTC